GGCACAAACTGAAGCACAGGAAGTTCCAGCTGAACATGAGGAAGAACTTCTTCCCTCTGAGGGTGACAGAGCCCTGGAACAGGCTGCCCAGGGAGGTTGTGGAGTCTCCTTCTCTGGAGATTTCAAGACCTGCCTGGACAAGGTCCTGTGCAACCTGCTCTGGGTGACCCTGCTTGGGCAGGGGGTTGGACTGGGTGACCCACAGAGGTCCCTTCCAACCCCGACCATGCTGTGATGTGCTTGAGGGTCCCAAGTGACCAAAGTCACTCAGGGCTGCTGTATTTCCTGCTAAACTTAGCAGCAGTGGTCCTGCGAATGTGCCTGCCTGCGCGCTGCTCTCAAGCCGTGGGAGATGCGTTTCAGTAACGCTTGTTAAAATCGTGGTCTGAGGCGAGTGGGTTCCATTCCTGGGTGTGCAAACCAGGACCTCGCCGTATGCAGCGTGCGGAGCGGAGGTGACAGTGGAGATCTCTTCTGGAAAGTGCCCAGGGCACTGCAAGATGTGACACAGAAAAGGCGGGTGTTACTACTCTGAACAGCGAGGCAATTCCTTACCGACTTTGCTGCCTGTGTTGCCCTGGTTGTGTTTCTAGGTTCCTCATTTAAACCAGAATGCCTGGAATAACCTTGAGAAGTACAGCAGGAGCTTGGCAAGGAACAACAAGAACGTCTACGTCTGCACCGGACCCCTTTACCTGCCCAGGTAAACACGAGGGCCAAGCTGGGACTGTGCTTGAAAGATGCGTGGTGCTGGGGAGGAAAGCAGGCTGAGGGGTGCAGCCTCCCCGAGGGGAGCGATCTGCTGAGGCCCCGCTCGGTAGGCGAGAGCAGCCGTGCGCAGGGTTCTGGGGAAAGGCACTTTCTTAGGACGAGGATTACTTTGTGTATTTCCTATTCCGTTGACTGTTTTTGTGAGTAAGGGTGGGTTTCTTGAGCTACAACATAACCAAATCACTTTTGTTTGCAGTCCTTAACAATCTCTTAGTAGTGCATTACTAGATTGTTAGATGAACAAATTAGACTGCAGACGCCTTTCCTGCAGAGTAAGGCTTCTATGTTTTATTTCATGGACTATTTCTCCACTCAAGAGCGTGACTTTATTTGCAAAGATTTTCATGTAGTGCTAAAGAGCAGCTGTCTCATCTTGAGATCTCTTCAGCAGCAGGAAAGAGCTTGGAAAGGCTGTTAGAGAGGCAGCGGGGAAGGGATTTGGGGGGACCAGATCCCATACACAGCTCGGCCTCACCGTGTCGTGCAGCTTCCGTTTCAGCAATGTTTTTACCCCCCTGCGGCAGAAGCAGGGGTGCTCCCTGCTGCGTTGCCGGGTGGGGGTCACTCGGGGTGGGGAGGCGGAGGGCTGAGGGGGCAGATGTGGCACCAGACGAGGAGCTAACATGGGATGTTGGTGTTGGCACAGGATGGAGGCTGATGGGAAGATGTACGTCAAGTACCAGGTGATTGGGAAGAACAACGTGGCTGTCCCCACCCATTTCTTCAAGGTGCTCATTCTGGAAAAGGAGAGCGGGGAGATTGAGTTGCGCTCGTATGTGATGCCCAACAGCCCTGTGGATGAGAAAATCCCCCTGGAACGGTTCCTGGTTCCCATCGAGAGCATTGAGCGAGCCTCAGGGCTCCTCTTTGTCCCAAACATCTTGAAGAGAACGAGTAACTTGAAGGCCATCACAGCTGGCAACAAGCGTTGAACCCTGACTAAACAAATCCAGGTATCCCCTGGGAAGGGACTCGCAGGAGTCATCTGCAGAATAGTAGTTGCTTGTGCAATTTTAACTGTGGGAAATAAGAATCAAGGCAATGCTTCTCTCTACCCTTCCCCTCGCTTTGTGTAATAGTGAAACACACACGTGTGGCAGGTCTCGGGGCAGGTCCTGCAGAAGGCTCCCGGGCACTGGACACCGTAGTAGGTCTTTAGAATTTGTTCTTAACATGCAGTACAGAGCTTACCCCGGTAATTGCTCCCTTTGAATTGTGTGTGGCTCATTAAGACACAAAGGGGGGGGTTGGGCTAGATCACCTCTAAAGATCCCTTCCAACCCTAAGCGTTCTATGATTCTATGAAAGGGAAGTAACTTAATTTCTGCTATTTGGGAAGCAGAACATATTCAGTATATTTCTGGGGAGGATGGGAGCAAGATGGGTGCAGGGGGAGGAGAGGAGAGGTTCCTGCCTTTCTGTGGCCAAATGATTTTATGATTGTTTTCTTTTAGAAGATGGCTTTAGCCGTAAAGCTTTGAAACCCCAAGGTATTGGTCATTTCTTATCTGCTCTTACCAAGCCCTGAATATCTCCGCGGGGGGGGGGAGGACAGAGCCAACTTTTCCAGCTGTTTTCCTGTTTAAGCTCTGCTTACAGTGAGCTCAAGGTGATAGAGCCAAACTGTAAGGAGCTATGCTGATGTGCTTTAGCACTGAGGCACAGATAAAGCTCCAGCCCTTCCTGCTGTGGGAAAGGATGAAGCCTTGAAGGGGGGGCTGGGGGAGTCAGGCTAGCTGAGACAGGAACAGTTTCTTGGCATAAGGATTAAGTTTGACTTCCTTTAAGTCTGAAGGCCACATGGCTCCAGAGGCACCGCGCGTGCAGATCTCTGAACAATGAGTGGCCATCCTCGGCGCTGAGACACTCACACGCAGACTTCACAGCAGCGGAGGTTCCATCCTGCTTTATTCCCCACCCCAGATGTCTGAATTGCCGAGACCCAGTCTGCTGCTGGGCCTGTCCCAGTGCTGAGGCAGCGACCAGCCCTTGGCTGGGCCCTGCAGGCAGGAGGGGGCAGACTTGCTGGTCCCAACAGCAGCCCAACACTTGGTCGAGCAGCGCTGCCTGCTTTAGTCCCGCTGTGTCTTGGCCCCGCCAGGCTCTTGGAGTGATGTGTCCAGCGTCTGAACAGCCGCTTCCCCGAGGCAGTCCTCAGCTGAGGGCAAGGTCAGTGTTCTTCCTTTCCTTGGTTGTCGCTGGGTGTCTTCACAGCTTCATCAATGTGGGGTCTCAGCGCAGACAGAGAGATCAGCAGCGCTTCCTGGAACAGACCCGGGCGGCAGTCAGAACCGCTGCTCCCTGAGGAGCACCGGCCAAGCCAGCTGCTCTTTGCTGAGGCGTCACCACGAGGAAGGACACGTGGGCCGTGTGTCCCTGCAAAAGACAGGAATGCAGCGCTATGCACACAGGCACCACGCCCCGCCACACCGTTAGCCGCCTGCCCTACCTCTGTCCGGATGGTTCGGCTGCCTTGGCTGGGACAAGTGTTCAGGTAGAAGTCAAACAAGTCGCTTGGGTCGGTGATCTCCAGGTTTGGGTCCACGTCAACACCAGCTTCCAAGCCCTCAAGCCCTCCAAAGACGACAAGGGCATGCCTAGAGGAAAGCACAGGGACACAGTGAGAGGGGAGACTGGCTCTTGCCCCTGGGCCATGGCAGGTGCTACAAGCTTTACACAGGAGAGCTGCTCGCGTGCCTTCAACCTCCAGGTTCACAAGAACAGTTTTCTTAACTTGCTCTGCAAGAAGCAGACTCATTTCTTTAGTTCAGGTATCTGGGTCTGTGGTCGAGGTCCTCTCTGCTGCTGAAGCAGGGAGCCATGTCCCTTGCTGACAGTGACCCGTGCAGCTGCCTCCCTAACAAAGCCCCACAGCACTCAGCCAATGCGTCAATCCCTGCCACCAACTCCAGAGAAACAAAAAATGAACTGGTTGTGTCCTGGGGTACCCCCACCCCCCGGCTTCTGTCATGCAGAGGAACGTGCACTGGTGTAAAAGGGAGCAGCAGAGCACAGGAGGGAGCCTGCGGGCGAGGCTTCCACTTGTATCTAGCCGCA